AATAACACCATTGAGCGTATATTGGGATACATCAAAGAGAGGCCTGCTCAAAATGAGACCCTTGAGCGAAAGTTGGATCACATCGCAGAACGGCTCACTGCAGTTGTGGGGTCTCAGAATCACAAGAATGATAACACCATGGAACAGAAGTTTGATACCATCATGGGGAGGCTCTATGATGTTACTTACGCTCCATGATGTTGTCATTCTTTTGCTCAAAGAGCAGGTTCTGAGAACTCACGACTGCAGTGCACTTCCCCAAGATGTGATCCAATTTGCGCTCAAAGGTGTTATTCGAGCGAGCCCCTCCAGATGTAATCCAGTTTTTCACTCAGAGGTCTTGTTCTGAGTATTCATGGCAGCCATGCGTTCTCCAAGATCTTATCCATGCTACACTCAACGAGCCCATTTTGAAAAACTCACGCCTCGTCCCATCGTTCCAATCCCAGCGGGCAGCCTTGTGGGGGTTTGAACAGCCGGTTCCGCTTCCTTAATTCTTCCATAAGTCAGGGCCAAGCCAGCTCCGATCAGCAAGAACCCTGTTATCATGGTTCTGAATAGGTAGATATCTTCAGCACTCAGGCTCACCCGAGCCCAGACTTCTCGTTGAGAAGGGGTGTCAATTGCATTCAGGGACCAGTTGATCCAATCCATAATTCCTCTTTTAGGTTTTAGAGAACAGACTGTGAGAGACTGTTCCAGGGAAAAGTAATACAAAAAACACGAGACTAGACAAGGACATAAGAGGCTAAACAGGGAAGCTAAGGGAGAGGAGGAGAGGAGAAAAGTGCGACCGCCTTCGCCGAGAGCCAAAACAGATGTTTAGAAGCATCAACCAATCAGGCCTCTGACTATGCGATGGAGGTCTCATTAGCAGGGGCGGATCTAGAGAAATTTTCTTAGGGTGGCAAAGAAATCAAATGGGGTGGCAAAATCAAAGCCCGCCCCCCCCAAACACTCATGCAGGTGGTTACATATGGTTACATGATTCAAATGCAGTAAGTATGCACGTTTTTCATATAAATATAGTC